TTGACACCAGTATCAAGCTGCATGGTGGGACTTTAAAAGTCCCTCCATGGGGGGAGATCATCAGCTTCCCATGCATAGGGACATCTGTGATCCCTGGCTGCTCATGGGCTAGTGTACATGGAGTTGGCAGCATATGCTCCAGTGATAGCAGGCAGCTGGGGATGGGGGAGCTCCATGGTGAACGTTAATTTTGTAGAGCTGCCTGCAGCACCTAGGTGTCACCAGAGGACATTTTGTTGAGTGGACATGCAGTTTCAAGGTGCTTGGTGGGGGAAGCTTGTGGACTGGTGAGCTCCTGAATCCACAGCTACCTGCACCACATACTTTTACCAGCGCACATGCAACTGGCTGCACCTGCATCAGGTGTGGGCAGCTGGGGGTAGGGTAGCTCCACGATTGCAAATGCAGCCAGCTGCATGCCCCAGCAGATGTGCAGTTGGGATCTGACAGATTTTTATTGCTGATGTCCAGAATCACACATCCTACCATGCACATATGACATGGCATGATAGGACACTCAATTTTTAGGATCTGTAATAAAAAGTCAGATTAGTTGTTGGTTTTCTCCCACACGTGGGGGGGGGGGTGGAAAAACATACAGTTAACTGTTTAACTGCAGAGTCTCAAGAAAATCTATTAAATGAAGTATGCACTTACCTGATCTTAATGTAAGTAATTCTCATTACATGTACAGCACTATCAGTGTTATAGTAGCCTTCAAACTGGGTGGTGTCCCTCAATTTCAGTATTTCTAATGGGAGCCGTGACTGACTATTAGAAATAGTATTGGATTACTTAAAGAAACATCCAGCAAAGCCTTAAATATCTGTTTGAAATTTTGTGTATATGTAGCATGTAAGGAAAATATTGGTGTTTATAGCATATTAGAAAAGATGATCTCTTTCTGCAAGTAAATGTGTTTCAGCTGATGGCTCCAAATTTGTCACTTCAGTGATTTCATCCTGCGCTGTATCAGAATTTTGTATCAACTTCTCTAGGCAATCCAATTAGATTTTAGGAGAGGAGAATATCTGTATAAACTTTACTGAAAATAAATATCTCTTGTAAAATTAATAATTATAGGCTTTGAATTGAGAAGTGCTTATGTTACTAATGGAGTTCTGTTAATGCTCTTTAAATGAATGTGTAGGAATAGATCCTCCATATAAAAAATCATGCAGCTGGCAGTGAGGCTGAAAGTGAGTACATTTGCTCCCTCTGCTCAAGGATTGTCTGGGGTTTTTTGGTTTATAATTCCACTTTCTTACTTCAGGAAAAATCATGTCTGTCCAGGGGCTTATTTTGACTTGGTGGTCAAAAAGGCTGGTCATAAGGATTGGCTTCAGTGAGTGTGGGAGATACTTTTAAATATGTTTCCAAAATCTTTTTAGTAGCAATTATCAAATGCACAAAATGACAAACCATAGCTTTTAATATAAAGGTAATTCTAGGAACATCTGTTAATGTACTTTCCAGATCCCCGTGGGGACCATTTTGAATGGGCAGAAAGACTGATTTAGGAGCTCTAGAAACTATTAGGTTAGCTGTGTAAGCTGAGTACCCCTACTATGGAGCTTGTGGACAAGAGGGGCCCTTCCCCTCCCCTGGATTCTTTGGAAACAGACTTTAAGGAGAGACGTCATGACAATTTTTTCCTTTATCTAATTTCTTTTTAATGGGTTTCTAACTTCAATTGCAGAGCTACTCAGCTCATTTTTTTTTTAGATTAAAGTTAGTGCAGTAATGCTTGAATGAACTTTTACACAGTGTGAAACCATACCCAAAATGTGTGAACTACCTTATTCTTCTCTATCAAGGCTCTGTGGATTCCAGTATTGTGGCCACAGGATCTGATGCCTTTCTTGTGATGCCAAGAAATGGAGTTTTGTCAGTACATTTATCAATGTTCTGGGTTTAATAGCCTTTCTTCCCAGTAAGATTTGCATGTGTTAACCTCTGTTTGCTCCCCTATTTTCCCCTCAAATTATAGTGCACTATTGTATGGACCTAAGCAACAAAGCACTCAAAGCCTTTTCCAGACTGCCTTTTCTCTTAGGTGGACTCTTGATTAAGCATGTCCAAATATTTATCTAAATGAAGTATGTCCAGTGCCTCCAAGAGGTAGTTGTAGTAGCAAGCAAAGGTTGCTTTGCTTGCTACTGCAGGATGTGCATGCAGCTATTTAGAGAAGGGAGCACTGTTTCAAGATCACACATCATCTTTACTAGCAAAATGTATGAATTGAGCATGTTTACAGCACTGTTACTGAAGTAGTCTCATTCTGTAAACTTAGTCTTCCTGTCATAGTATTTGCTGTTTCTGTAAATGGAGAAAGCTGTCAAGCCTCCTTATGCTTGATGAAATGCTTGCACCCTGCATTCTCTCACACTTCCACCATTGCATTGGGATCTGCTGCTAGTCAAAAATAAAATAAAATAAAATTCCTCTCTCCTGTGACCTCTCTGGTTGTCAAATTCAAAACAACATGGTTGCATATGTTTGTGCATAGCTGTTGGGGAAAAAAAAATCATTATGGAGGAAGTTTGAGATCTACTGGGTTTACAGAGTTTTCAAATAAATTGATTGTGACTGGACGTTCTATGCACACAGTCATTTAGAGTTACTTTATACAGTTCTTCAGAGAAGAAAACATTACTTTTCCTATTCTCTACAGCAGGGATTCTCTACTCTCCCATTTATCCTGCCTTTGGTTATAAGTTGACCCAGATGCTGCCAGACCTGTGTTCAGAGCCAAGGACATGTACTGCACACAGTACCGCTCTAGGATTTGTGCAACATGTGGGACCTGCACCATAGACAGTGCCTGCCCCATGCAGTCTGGTATCTGCACCATATGTGGTGCCTCCTGCCTGGTGCAGTACTGTCCTCCATTCAGCCCTGCATAGCACAGGTCTTCAGTTGGTGGGAACAGGCACCATGTGGCCCACGTACCAGGACTTGTACTGCACACACTGCCTGTCCCAATGACTCCAGGACCTGCACTGCATGCAACGTTCTTCCTCCTCTTCCCCTCCCACCCCCTACATGCTGGTCTGAGATGTGCAATTCTGGGCACCGCACTTCAAGAGGGATGCGGATACCCTGGAGAGAGTCCAGAGAAGGGCCACTCGTATGGTTAAGGGCTTTCAGACCAAGCTCTACAAGGAGAGACTAGAGAGCCTGGACCTTTTCAGCCGCCGCAAGAGAAGGTTGAGAGGCGCCCTTGTGGCTGCCTATAAGTTCATCACGGGGGCACAGAAGGGAATTGGGGAGATTTTATTCACCAAGGTGCCCCCAGGGGTTACAAGAAATAATGGCCACAAGCTAGCAGAGAGCAGATTTAGACTGGACATTAGGAAGAACTTCTTCTCAGTTAGAGTGGCCACGGTCTGGAACGGGCTCCCAAGGGAGGTGGTGCTCTCCCCTGCCCTGGGGGTCTTCAAGAGGAGGTTAGATAAGCATCTAGCTGGGGTCATCTAGACCCAGCCCTCTTTCCTGCCTATGCAGGGGGTCGGACTCGATGATCTATTGAGGTCCCTTCTGACCCTAACATCTATGAATCTATGGAGAACATACAGGGCCTGGGGTCTGCGGGCCCAGTCTGGCGCACGGACTGACTTGATGCCACTCATCTGGCTAATGTGGCCAGATGGGTTTAACACTTCTGTTCCACAGGCAGCATTAGAAAATGTTACAATTGCATCTTTTTTGTTTGTTTGTTCTTAAGAAGCCAGTGGTTGGAAGCTTATCCAAATCAAAGCACAGCATCATGTAGCAGGAAGTGGCATGCAGCAGCAAAGTGTTACAAAGCTTGAATATTGTTAGTTTATACCTCTGAATTTGAGAGTACAAAAATATAAGCATTTATATTAAAACCTCCCAAAAAGTTCTTAACACACAGGCTCATTTTTTTGTTTGTTTGTTTGGGGTTTTTTTTACTGGAATTTTAAGTAAGACACAGCAGAAGTATAGCAAGCTCTTTCAGTGCCCTCAGCAGAGGGGTATATGCAGAGGTGGGGGGAAATCAGGCCAACCTCTGGAGAATGCGGGTGGGGCGGCACTGGAGAGGGAGTGGAGTCTTATCTGCTCCAGATCTCCACACTCTGGCACGAGCAGCATGGGCTTAGGCTGCTGCCGCTGAGGACAGGCAGCAAAGGAGGCTTCCCCTCTAGTGCCCCATTTGTTTTGTTCAGCCCAGGTTCAGGGCTGTGCATCCCATGACCGCCTTTTGGAGGGGGCATCATTTCACTCCTCTGCAAGTGTAGGAATAGGTCCTCCATATAAAAAATTAGGCAGCTGGCAGTGAGGTCGAAAGTGAGTACATTCCCTTCCCTTTCCCCTGCCCCCCCATACACTGTTGGGCATAGCCTACGTCTGAGCTGTGTAGGGTTGCCCCTGTCATGGCAAAGACTCCTGAGGAAAGGAGGCCATAAAGGTAGGCT